AAAAAAAAAAAAAAAAAGAGATGCCAGGTACTGAAATGGGAGGCAAGCGAGAGCTTGTAAATCATACCAACAATTTTTGGGTGCCATTGAAGCGCGTCAAGTATGTAGGTGAAAAGCAGATCTCCTCTATGTAAAAAGGGGACTTGACCTGAATACACAGAGACCAGTGTCACTTGGCCAGTATATTTTATCATCAGGAGAAGTACTGTAAGTACATGCAATCTGGCCTGAAAATAGAACCGTGGGGTTATCTGACATCACTAATAACTACTGCAGTAAACCAATGTTGAATGGGTAAAGCTAATGTAAAAATCTCTGGTTGGGATTTGGATTTCAGTTAGAAAATGAGATTTGAACTCTGGTTAGGAAATAAGGATGAAATTAAAAACCTAGTACTGGGCACACACCTGTAATCCTGGCACTCAGGGAAACTGAGGCAGGAGGATCAAAAGTTTGTGCCCAGTTTGGGCAACTTAGTGACTCAGGGAAGCCCTGCCTCAAAAACAAAAAACAAAAAACAAAACAAAACAAAAAAACCCTCCTAAAACAAAGCCCAAACAGGATTATCTCAGTGGGAAGGCACTGGGTTCAGTCCTAGTAACACACACACACACACACACACACACATTAATATTCTATATTTTATCAAACAGAAGTTGCTGTTTACCAGGTTAGCCAGGTGTGGCACACACCTATAATTCCAGAACTCGGGAGGCTGAGACAAGATTTCCCCGAATTTGAGGCCAGCCTGGACGACATACTGAGATCCTGTCTCAAAAAACAAAACAAAACAAAACAAAAAAAGAAGAGAAGTTGCTCTTATTTTCCACTCTAGAGTGGTATTGTGTATATTTAATGGTAATTTTTTAAAAAAAGCTCTTAAATTCTGTTTTCTAAGTCAACATTATTTGTATGGTTTTACTTTAGAATTGATGCATTGTAGTTCTGGAAATCTTGTACACTCTAGATGTGATATTTGTCAACCAAAAACCTTATATTCTTATCACCATGGAGATTCTTTTTTTTTTTCTTTTTTGAAACAGGGTCTCACTATGTAGTTGAGCCTGGAACTCGCTATGTAGCCCAGGCTGGTCTCCAACTCATAGTGATCCTCCTTCCTCAGCCTCCCAAGTGCTGGGATTACAGGCGTGCGCCACCACGCCCAGCTGAGATTATTTCTTACAACTGGATATATTCATATTATATAATTCATGGTGCTTTATTAGCATTACTAGCATGGCTCTGAATCATAGGGTATTTCTTCTCTGCACATTGAATTTGAAAGTGCCAAGTCCATTCAAAGGCTAATTAGAACTTCATATGCTTAGATGGAAGTTAAATCGCCAGACTATTTATTAGTGCCATGGTTTTTAAGCAACACTAAAGTCCTGTTTCATCACTGACTTTCAAATTGCTACACAAGCATAAAATGGGATTACTGTTTACCTATCAGAGATGGCGAATCTTTTAGAGCTTTCAATGATAACAAACAGCCAGCTGCGGCAACCATGCCATAGGTTCGCAACCACTGAATTATTTTCGTTAATGCAAGGTCTACTTTTTTTGTATACCGGTTCAAGTAATTCCTATTATGCCAAACACTGTGCTCAACTTCTGGACGTTACCTGGTCTGTTCCATGGGCATTTTCTGGGACATTACTAAAGGTGACTGTGGAAGAACTTAGAAATCTTTCACCATCAATCAGTGGCAGACACTTGTTTTAATATGGGAGGGATTATGAAATATTAAGTGATCCTAGATAAAGGAGAAATAACTTCCAACCTGCTGGATATCAGATGTGCCAAGTTCGTGGCCTCTGAAAACCAAGTAACAAAGGAGGTTAAGAGTAGGAAAGGTTTATGGACAGATAGCTCCTGAGAGACAGAAGGGGTCCCAAAAGTGTATTACCACAGAGGCCCTTTGTCAGGGGTAATTTATACAGAAAAGTCACAATGGGGGTATGACAGGGTCAAACTACATCAACCTATATAATTTCAAGTATAGCTGGTTAATATTGATCCAAGAGGATAATGACTCACTAGCAAGGGTCCATGGCTAGCATCATTGAACTTGGCTTAACTATGACTTCTAAAACGGAAACATTTTTGGGATAGGATGGGTCCAGACGTTAAAGTCACACACCTGGGTATCTGATGTATAGCTGGATTTAATGGATTAAGTGATGCTGATTGCAATACAACCTCAAGTTATTGTTTTGTCCTCAAGGAGGGATGTGGGTCTGCCACTGCATCTTTATCTTGGGGCTGGACTACTTCAGATGCACCTCCAACCACAATTCTGATGTCTTTGCTTCCGCTGACTTCCTTGAGAAGCCAGTCCCTCTCTGATTGTATATTTATTTTTATCTAATTTAGCTCCCTATAATATTATGAGCACGATCCAGGGCTCCAAACTCACCTTTAAATTGAGACCCCCAGCTCTCCCTTCCATGACCCAGTGCCCTACACCTCCCAGACACGGGTCTGGAAAGCTTGGTGTTCGAAACTGCATCCTCCAACGCCCCACACTCCTTTCCCTCGCCTGGGAGGCCCCCAGGGCATTTCCTCTCCAGTTCTCAGCAACCTGAGACAAAAAGAAGGTCAGGAGACTGCAGCCTACGAATTCGACTAGCCTCAGGTCGACCAACAATCTTCCACTGAAAGAGAAGCCCCGTGCGGATTCTCTCCTTTCTTCCTTGCCTCTTCTTACCATCCTCCCGCATTCCTGCCCTTTAGGCTAAGAGAAGCTTCCTAGTCATTCCCAAAATCTTCCGTGCCCTCTTCCTCTGCACTTTTCCACTTCCAAACTCCCATGGCAAGACGTGAAGAGACTGACAGCAGGATAACAAGAAGTTTCTTGAAACATCTTTTCTAGACTCTTAAGCCTTCCCCTTTAAGGAACCAGGCCCACCTCTTTGCCACTCACCTACTGGCTTTCCTTCCTGCTCGTCACTCTACCTTTAAGAATATTTCCTGTTCCTTCAACCCAACCCTGTACACCTCCGCCTCCCCCCCGATCTTCCTCATTGGGCCGCCGGAGGCCCTTTCACTCCTCGACTTTCCCTCCCTCTCCTCCCGCCCTCTAGCCTGGCGCAATGGCATTCCAGCTTCTGATTGGCTAGAATAGCAACCTCCTTGGCGTTGGATTGGCGGGTTTAGTGGCAAGGGCGGGAGCGCGACGCACTCAGGGTAGGCTGTCCGCTTGCAAAGCGGCGGCCGCGGGAGGGG